AATTGAAACGAAAATGCCAACATGAAATTTCTCATTTGTGTTCAAAGGAAAAGAAAATATCTGACGATGAGAAAACACCAACAGAATTCAACGATATGTGTGACAATGTAATTGATATCATTCTGTGCCATTTGAACCTAGAAGATTTGGCAAATATATCCGACACAAATAAACGACTCAGAAATATTGCTGGTTCAGTATTTTCCCGAAAACATGGAAATCATTTAATATCATTTGATGCTTTTCATTATGTACCTTATAAACCGGTTGATTATGTACGTCGTATCTATGAAAACAGAAATCTAATTTATTGTAAGAACAAACTGATCGTCAGAATTAGTGATGCAATAATTTGGTTTAAATTAATGCGGAATTTTGGAGAATCCATTAAGTTTATTTGTATTCATTGCAGTGTTGATACAAATATTCCAATCGTCTTGAAGAATGTGTTCAAATACGTTTGCGATTATTGTGCTGATTCATTGGAGGCACTGGAATTGCATTCATTTCCATTTTTCACGTTGAATAAACCATTGATAAAACTTCAAGAATTCATCGCTAGGGCTTCTTTTTTTGACTTGGAAGCATTGGAATTAATGCCGAATCTACGTTCTTTGAATTTATCATATGCTCCAAAATCAGTGGAAAAATATTTTTTGAAATTGGAACGAGTTTCCTTGACAATTGAAAGCGATGAAGACGTTCATTCATTTATTTCTTTTTTGCAAATGAATCGTCAAATCAAATATTTGGATTTATGTATGCAAATAAGTAATTATAATGACTTAATATATTCTTCGATCGATGAAAACTTAACACAACTGAAAACTTTTAAATTAGCCGTGTTGTATCGTGGCAAACAAAATGCGCCGGAATTAATTCCAACTTATCGATTCAAAACAATCGAAACATTTTCATATGGTGGTTGGTCATCTGGGCGAATAATTGAATCATATGAGTTTGATAATCTCCAAAAGTGTCATTTAAAAACGTGCGTAAATATGCATTGGATGAACTTCATATTGCGTAATAAAGAATTGAAAATATTGAAATTCTTCCCGGAAAGTGCAAGCTGGATAGAAAAAAATAATGTAACTATTCCAAAACTGCTGGACGAATTAACTGAATTGGAACAAATCGATTTCGAATATGGTATGAAAGAAAAACACTTGATTTTGAAGGAAATTCTTGGAAACCAATGGGAACAAATTCAAATGAAAGAAATTGCATCTACATTGAAGTCGACATGGAAATCGAAATTTCGACGTATTCAAAAGATTCAAAAAATATTGAAAACTAATGAACTTATCCGAATTTAGTTTTTATTTTGATTTTAGATTCATAAATAATCTATATACTTAAAGAATAAAGTGTTTTGAATTTTTTGAACAAAAAATGTATTTACTTCTTTTATATGGTATGAAAAGACAACAACAATCACACGTAATTTCAAATTTTCAATTTCCAAATTTTGTTGTTAGATCGTAACGACATTTGTAGTAGAGTATTTTGAAACACACTCTATATGAAGTTATTTTCGCACCCACTGTGTGCAGTAAAGTCCTTCAAATAACAGAAAATAAAGAAAACGAAAAAATGAAAACAATTGTATTTTTATTTTGAAGTAGTTAGTTTTTCCGATAGAACTCTTTTTCAACTAATTCATCCAACAGTGTTGGATTGTTCAGTATGTTTTGTTTGTTCTCTACAACTATTCTGATGCAATCTTCCAATTTGGGATGCAATTTCAGATGTTCGGAAATTTCTTCTTTTATCGAGGAAAAAATGTCTGAATTTGCATTGCCAGTTCTCAAACAATGAAGGATTTTTTCTTTTTTTTTACAGGTTAATTCGTTAAGTAATTCATTTCCCTTTGTGTCACTCAACCATGATAAAGGCTCAATTTGAATTTTAAACTTCATTACAAATTGCTCTGGCAGCTGTATTTTATTCAACGGCATGTTAGAGATCTATGATCAAATAATTCAAATTAATAACTATTATTTATTCAATTTCAGGGAATTAACTTGGGGATGAAGAACTTGTAGCACCATCTTCTGTAGGCGATACGTCGACATCATCCACCTCATTTTGAATTTCGGTTTTAACAAATGTCTCCGTTTCCATAGGTTCCGTTTTATTTTCATCCTTATCATCGTCATTCTCATTTTCATTGGCATCATCTTCTGTGGGTAGTTTTTCATACAGTTTCTGAATTGATTCCATATTTTCTTTCATATCATTGATGCGTTTCAAGTATAATTTGTATACAAAATCAGCCATTTCGCTTATATTTTTAATGGTTCGGTTATTTCGGTTCGGCATCAATTTTGATGAAACAATGAATAAAGTCATAATCGAAAGAAAAATTAAATAGTTTTAAAAAAGAGTTGTTTTAGTTGGTTTATTGTCTTCCAGATGTCGCAATAAGACAGATCATTCCTGACATTTATCAAGTGTAATCACATTTTTGACAGCAAATAAGTTAAAAAAATAAGGCTTCTCAATATCAAAAAAGTGGTGTTTGACTTATAAATCAACAATTGGTATTGTATTTTGATTTTCTACCTCTCGAAATATTCTCAATGTGATTGTATTTTCCTTTTACTTTGTGGCAAAAGTATTGAAAAGGTTCTGAGCTATACAGGAAAAAAAGCTTCATACGAAATTCAGTAACTGTGTCTGCAGACAAACAACAATTGTGCGAAGAAAAAGAGTTGGACGCGAGCTGGGTCATTGTCGTTTTAGGTTTTTTACACAAATACACAGAAAGATGGAGAAAACACCTTCCAAACTGATAACTAATAAGGAATCAGCCCAATGTCAACACGATGAACTGGTAGGTCTATCAACAATTTGCATGGTATCATTCGAAGAGTTTTGCATTTGAAAATAATTCACTTTGAAAACATTTTATTTATTTTTCATTGTTTATAGGCCACCAGCTCAAGTGGAATACTAAACCACAGCTCAATAGCCGGGTCTGAATTGAAACGAAAATGCCAACATGAAATTTCTCATTTGTGTTCAAAG